TTCCCACATCCTCAGGACTGGGAACCACTTTAGATTGCAAATTTTTTCCTTAACTCAGGAGCATGCAGCATTAATTTACCTGTTCGAGTTGATTTCTTTTTTCGTGGGTCATAGTGTTTTTTGAGTAATTTTTTTGCTCACTAAACTATTTCAGAATGACTTCGGGTGCCATCAAGAAGCAGGGATTCTTCTATAATCTCCTAGTAACGCATATCTTCTTCCCATTCATCAACAGGTAATTTCGCTTACTACTTGGAACTTGTCCAGCCTATACCCCCATCAGCAAGAGAAAGCGGAAGTTGCAAATTGGCGAGGGAAACCACTCTACCTACTTGGTCCACCGGTCCCACCCCCCCATCAAAACTTCATATGATCAGGGTTAATGAAAAAATGGAAGGTGTAAAAGTATGAAACTGCTGTCTAGAGCCCAGATCAGTCTCCACAACTCATTCGCACTTGCATAGATTCGTGAAGGACGCTTGCACGGCGCATTCCAAAAAGTCTGACCAAACCATCCATTTTTTATTTTTTTCTCTTGTCCACTCACCAAAATTTGTTTTCAGGTTTCTTAAAAACATTGTTGACAAATCCAGTGAAGCCCTTTACATTCAATTAACTTCTACTGGCCATGGAAGCAAGTATGGAAGAGGAGGAACAAAGTAAGTTTGCCTCTTTTTCTAAATTGCACCTCCACGATACCCTATTGGCTTTATATGAAATTTCAACAACTCAGGTCCATAGTAAAGTTATCTCAAATGTTTTCCAGAGGAGCAGTGACGATGTTCATCGACAATCCTATCCATTTCTGTTGGCTGATGATATTGGACGAGAAAATGGGATTGGGTGAAGCATATATGGCCGGAGACTGGCGAGCTGAACCGAATCCAACCGAATTCCTCAAACTTCTCATCAGAGCAAAGAGTTCGTCCCCACATCGCTCATTCATCCTTCGCAATTTCAACTACCGTATTCCAGAAGAGAAAGCCGCTTCCCGGAAGCCGTCATCGAAGTCTTCCAGGGGAAGCTTCTTTGCTACCGTAATCGGATTGTTGCTGGGCTTTGTTCGTAAAGTAACTGCCGTAGTCAACTATATCCAACATAGAATCAGAGACAATACAGTAGCCCAAAGCGCCAAGAATATCGAAGGTACGGTAATTCTAGTTAAAGTGGTCCTGCAAAGAAAAGTCATCTTTTAGAGCACTATGACCTCGGTAACGACATGTTCGAATTGTTCCTTGACAACACCATGACCTATTCATGTGCTCTTTTCGAAAGTAAGTTTTTCCACAGCCCACCTGATTTGGGTCCTGCAAGGAATAGCCCGTTGATGTTTAGAGCCTGGACATCGTGTGGAAAAGGTCGATTTCGACGAATTGGAGAAAGCCCAGTTGAAGAAAATCGATACACTCATTGACATGCTAGACCTTAAAGAAACCGACAAAGTCTTGGAGATTGGTTGCGGATGGGGAGCGTTTGCCATTCGAGGTGTTCAGGTGAGACTTGATTGAGAAAATCTGGTGGGAGCTGTCCAGAAATGTCCCATTTCAGCGATCGGGTTGCCAATGGACTGGTCTGACAATTTCCCACGAACAGCTTGCTCTGGGTAAGGAACGAGTGAAGGCTGCTGGCCTCGAGGACAAGATCGATCTGAAAATCCAAGACTACAGGTATCTTTGGCTGTTCATGCTTCTCTGTAGGGAACCAGGGTAACTCTGTCGCTTCAGGCTTGCTCAAGGCTCCTACACGAAAGTGATTTCGGTGGAAATGATTGAAGCCGTTGGGCATGCCTTCCTTCCACAGTACTTCCAAGTTATCTCGGATCGTTTGGTCCCTGGAGGAAAAGCCGTCATCCAGGTGAATTTCATATTTGAAGGCTCTTTTTTATCAGCTCACCTATCACCCTTGCATCTGTATCCTCTTCCACGCACTCAACTACTACTGAATTTGATCTCCTTACCTTGGCATTTCGCATTGAACGTCGGCTATGCCGTTTATAGGGCCCTTACTAGTTCCTTTAGGGTCGTTTTTCGGCGCCCCTTGGGCTATCCGTGGCGGTCGCAGGTTCATCCAAAGGAGCACTTTCAGAAACTATTTTTTGAACTGTGCCTTAACCAAGTTTTCCAGGCCATCATTTGCCCTGATGCCTACTACGAAAGATATTCGAAATCGTCAGATTTTATAAAGAAGTACATCTTCCCAGGAGGACATATGCCCTCTCTTGGTGAGCACAGTAAAATAGTATGAAGTGGTCTCGACTTCAATGACGCTTTTAGGGGCAATAAACGCCGCCCTGCCGAACGATCTTCGATTTGGAGAGAAACACCACATTGGCCGACATTACGCTACCACATTAGATCATTGGTACAGGTAAGGAAAATACTGGAAGATACGGTAATCAGCCCAATTCTCGTACTAAACCGGCTCTCGTTCCAGTGCATGGATGATGTGCGAAAAGGATACGTTGGCACTTGGCTACTCAGAAACCTTCCACCGACGGTGGCAGTATTATTTTTGCCTCTGTTCAGCCTTATTCGCCAATGATCATATCGATGCCGTTCAGTTTGTGTTGAACAAATGTTAGGCCGTATCGGCTACTGTTGCTCCTCATGTACAGTGTATAATGCTTATAAATTCCTATTTTGTCTAAAACTGTTACATCATTTCCGAATCGAACCGGCCCATCCCAAGGCGACTCAGCAGACGAATATGAGGTTCTTCGAAGAGCAATGCTTTAGAGCAACTCTCTTTGTATTTGACTCATTCAGCAGCAGCAAGGGTTCCGCTTAGTTTCGAAACAAAACTTGAAAAAAGGCCAACTTATTGTGGAGGCTCTCCGGGAAGCCTGCCCATTTTGAGCTTTTCCACATCAAATATTAAACTATTCAGTGTGTAGGGTCAGTTCTGTTACGGTGAATTTTCGCCGACATAGTCATTTTGGGAATCTCCACAAGGAGCAGCTAACATATGACAGATAATTTAACATTGTAAGCTACACATTACCTACTCCGTAAAACTCCAGCAACATTTTTACAACTTTTGAGGAATCGATTGTAATAAAAGATCTCGAGGGTATTCAAGAAGAGGTATCACCTTGGCTCTTCTGCGCAATATTTTTTGCGATGAATCTGATCCGGTCCTATGTAACTGTGGTCGGACCTACTTGTTTGCTATCCCGCAAAGAAAGGCGTCATCCCTGAACGCCAGGTCGCGTGGTTACATGAGTGAAAACGACAGCTGACTAAGAATTTGTGGTATGCGAGATAATCAGCTAGGATTTTATCGCTTAATTTCAAATACAAAGAGAATTGCTCTGAAGCATTGCTCTCCGAAGAACTTCATATTCGCCTCGTACAGACAGAAAGAGTCGAACTGTCGGGGTATTCATTAGCTGAGCATTCTTAGAAGTTGGTAATCTTTTTCAGGATCAAAGAGGGTGTGAAGAAGACTTTATATGGGTGGTAATAAAAGCTCGTGCTTAGGCTGAACACCCCATAATGAAGCTTTGTATGGCGTCCTGATAGCGGCGATCTGCTATCAAGCGTAGCAAGCAACTCTTAACGAAACTACGGAAATGGCTCGATGAAGGTGCGAACACCGCTAAAACGCAGTTCTCCCAGCTTGCGACCTGTAGCTCTAGAAGTAGGGTAGGCCTTCTAGGCTTGCTTCTTCTGAAATACGCCATGAACTCGGTTATTATTCAGAAGTGGTGAGCTAATACGTATTCTTG